CAAGAATATGAAAGGAATGCGCTCCCAAACTTAAGACGCTGGCTGACTACGTCATCCTGAGTAAAAATATTTACATTATCAGAGCAAACTGTTCAACTCAACTGTTGAACAGTTGAGAGCAAAGAATATCGAAAGGTAGTTGATTCCACATGTCAGTTATTTCATGGGGAAAACTATACCTCGAGACATTAGTTCTGTTTAACTAACTATTATAGAACATAAAAATAGCAAATTCGAAGAATACATTAAGACATGACAAAATTTAAAAATCACTAAGAATTGTCTTCACTCTTGACTTGAAAGTATTTACATTATCAGAGCAACAAATATCTAACGGTAGCTGATTCCACATGTCAGTCATTCGATGGAAAAAACTATACTTCAGGACATTAGTTCTGGCAAATTTCTTCTTTAAAGTTAAAAAGTCCTTGGACCTTAGTGCAAAACGGTCAGCTTCTGAGTGGAAATCTATAATTTGCAGACATCAATATTAATGTTGCCATCATTAAAAATACTTTATATAAGAATGTCACATCAGTCAGTAATCTTCCCTTCTGCAATGACATGAGGTTTAACCTCTTCAAACAAATGTCATAGGGATCATCACTCTTTAGGATAAATTTTGTTGCTCTTCTCTGTACCCTTATCAATATTTCTTTTTGTATACGGGGACCACACCACCTAACAGTATTCCAGGTTAGAGCGAACCAGAGAGCAGTAAAGAGTACGCAACATCGTAAGCTCATCCAGACCTTGACAAGTTCTTTTAATTATGCCAAGCCACTCTGTTGGCCTTGGATACAACAAGATCATGGTGTGGGTTCCATGATAAGTGTTGATTAGTAAAAATCCCTAAGTCTTTAAACTCTTCAACCTCTTCCAGTCCAGAATTATCCAGGAAAAAACTATAAATGAGTGGTTGAGTCTTCTTAATAATTTTCATTATTTTGCATTTCTTGATATTAAAGCTCATGAAATTCCGAACATTCCACTGATGTAGATTATCTAGATCTTGTTGAAACAAATCACCAACTGTGTCAATGATTCTGGAACATTTGCAGTCATCTGCATAAAGGGCAATAGTACTGCCAGGAGGAACAACTTCAGGAGGGTCACTAACAAATATAACAAAAAATAAAGGCCCTAATAGAAAGCCCTGTCGGACTGATGAGACATCAGACCAGGAAGAGGATATACCATCCAGTACAACTCTCTGTCGACGATTGTTTAAGTAACTTTCGCACCACTGTAATAATGAGCCAGTGATCCCAAAGTTGCACAACTTTTGCTACAAAACTGAATGATTCACTTTGTCAAAGGCTTTGGAAAAGTCCAAAGTAATGACATCTTCTGTAAATAAACTGATTTTTAAACACAAGATAAGGTAGTTTCTACGTAGTATTTTATCATCCATTTGTAGTTTAACTGGTTAAATTTTTACGGTAGATTTTTATTGAGTGTATAGGCAACTAGATATACATGTACTTTTATCTTTTGGCAATAAAGACTATTATTATCATTATTAATGTACTTTTATCTTTCGGCAATAAAGACTATTGTTATTATTATTATCAGGGTTCGTACCCTTTTTCAGAAACAATTTTTGTGGACTTTTCCAGGACTTTTCCAGGACTGCGAAAATCACATTAACCCTCTCACTCTCAGAAGTGACAAATACTTTATTTCTACTCACAATTTCAACACATTGCTCGACATACAAATAAGGACAATAAAGAAAAATAAAATGTCAACAAATTGATTGAACACTAAATTCTCAGAAGTACATATGTAACATAAGAAATCCATGGTTGATAGTTAGTAGAATTAGTATTCCCATCTTGGGAATCTTGAGCTTTCCAACCAACTGCTCATCAATGCTTTTCAAGACTGCACTCTCTTTCATGGCAGATCTTCACAAACTGTTTGATTTGGCAAACCAAGTAAAGTTTCTTGAATCTTCTGCCCTATCAGCAAATTCATCTACAGTCTTCAGAAGAGCCTCTATATCAATTTCAACTGCCATTTCTTTTTCTTAACCACATCGATCTCATCCATTGTTGCCTTTCTTTTAAGCAATTAATTTTTTCCTGGGACACTTAACTCTTCTGCTCTTCTAGATAGGAAATAGCTTGAACACTATATGACATAAGAAGTTGCTTTCAGACGTGCCAATTGACAAGGCCTCCAACTGATTCAATGTGACCATGAATAATCCTCTGTGCAATAAACGATCTTTCTGAAAGGTTCTCAACTGCCACTTCTTTGTTTACAGAAAAGCCTCTATTAACTGTGGATTGACCATGAGACATTACTTGTAGCAGCAGTAATTTAACCACACTCCACTGACACTTTAGCCTGTTGCTTATCTCCAGCCATGTGTTCATACAACAGCGTGTCAACTCTTGAAATGGGTTCACTTGGGTCAAAATCTTCAAAGGTAGGATATACCTGCATATTCATCCAGAAACTGTCCAGACTGATATATCTCCTCATCACACTCATTAGTCTTCAATCTGTGGGCTCCCACAAGAATTTCAAGAACTCTTTTCATTTTGCTGACACACGTTTCTTTCCCTAATGCCATTAGCATATTTCTTACAAGTTGATATTTATTGGTGTTTTGTCATTCAGTTTAGAAGCTGTTTTTGCAAGAAAATCTTTACATTCCACTTTGAATTGAAGAACTTGCCTTTCACACAAATTTCTCAGACTTTTCTTTCAGCATCTGTCATGCTACAAAGCCAACATCAACTTTCTTGTAGTTTTGTGCTAAAGAGCTAGATCTCTCTTCCACTTGCTCATTTGTTTAACTTCCTGTATCCCTGAGGACTGGGAATATGCCTACCTTGTGGAAATCAGCCAATACTACCCCGATTCATAAGGGAGATAGTACTGGGAGCTGGTAACTAACTACAGATCAATCTCTTTATTACCAATCCCAGCTACATGTAAGTTCTTAGAGCGCATTGTGCATTCTACTATTTATGATCATATCTCTCCGTTTCTCACCGAATGGCAACATCGTTTTGTTGGAGGTAGATTTTGTGAGACTCGACTGCTTCTAACCCAGAAAAGTTGATGTAGTCTTCTTAATAATAATAATAAATAATACTGCAGGGTTCATATGGGTTCTGGAAATCCTGGAAAAATGCTGCTGGTCCTGGAAAGTCCTGGAAATCGGTTAAACTGAATAAAGTAATAACATTTTCCTTAACACAAGTGAGAAAACGTTTTTGAGAATTATAAACAATTATTAGATTTGTCCAGAATAATCAAGGTCGAGGTAGGGGTTATCAGCCGAAGCCGAAGGCTGAGGCTGATAACCTTTACTGAGACCTTGATTATTCTGGATTTCTCAAAAACCAAATGTAATAATTGTTTCATTATACATTAAACAAATTCTTTCCTTTGCGCTTTGACATGTATGTTTTCAAAGTTTGTGCCAACTCTTTCTTTTCTTCAAGTTCTCTCAGTTTTTTTTTCTTTCATGTAATCAGCAAACAGCTCCTTTGCCACCTTCATCGACCTTTTTGTGTTTTGTGAGTCCTTGTCTTCAACTATTTTTTCATTGACTTGCTTGGTCAATGAAGCAAACCTGGAAGTCATGTGTTTGCTTCTTCACTGACGGCAAGCAAACACAAAGCGTGCGAACTTGACATGATATAGAAATCATGCACCGCAGTCATACATGACATGATTACCCATGACCTTGAGTGTCCTTGACATGATTATTGTATAATCTGCAGCTAGATGATGTCCCAGGCGCTGATTTCGAAAATTCACTGTACACTTTCGGCCAATCAGAAAAGAGATAGTGAGTTCAATGTATAATAATTATTACAACATGCTGTGCGTCTGTGGTTTTGACTGCATAAATATTTCTCTTTTGTGTTTTTTCTCAGTACATAGTCCCTTAGTAACCTTGAGATACGCATGATTTTGTAAGTTGGAGATTTAAACATCAGTCGATAGGTGTTTTTAGTTTAAACATTTTTATTCTAAAATATGCCTGGGAAATGCTCGTTTAGTGACTGTTGGTTGAAAAACTCTTCCTTTAAATTGTGGTTGGAACGTGACATGGACAAGTTTGAAGCAAAATGGAAAGTTTGTTTGAAGGCATTTGTTGTTTCAAACATGAGAGAATCGGCGCTGAAAAGCCGCGAAAAGGAAAAGAAGCATTTTATCTTATGGAAACACAACATCTCCTTTGAAGATCCTGAAGTTGAAGCCCACCGATAAATAACAGTTTCAGGAATTCGTTTTGCCTTAGGAATTCGTTTTGCGAAAGACTGAAGATACTGTTGGACATCTTGAATTAATATTATAAAGTTTCTTGGTCTTCCTTCTAAGATCCTTGAATTTCAGAAATAAATCAGCGGATCCATTAGTCTTCAAATTTTTCCAAAGTCTCTTCTTCTTTCTAATTAATTTCATAGTTTTGTTATCAATCTAAGGAGGCCCAGAACACTGTTTCAGAGTTCTTTGTAATATGTGCTGGTCAATAGCACAAAATAATCGGGAATTTCTCTAAGCTTGTATCAATACTAGTAATTCTGATGTAACCAGGTCCCATGGTAAAGTTCTTAATGTCTCTTGTAAACCATTAAAATCCACTGTTCTGTACCAATTAATGAACTTTACGTTGAGCATTTTTTGGCCTTGTTTTCTTAAAATGTACATGTAACTTGAATGTTAGGGGAATAGACCTGTCAAAACTTTGACAATTCTGAGAGTAGATTATTTTGTCCTTGAGCATGACCAAAAGAATGACCAAGCTAAAAGCAAAGCCCTGAAAAAAAGCAACTCGTTTGGCTGCCTCTAGGTGAGCTAGCTAGTTAACTTTTCGTTAAGACAAATGCAAACTGCATGTCTTCGACATCCCCGTCCCGTTCCTTGCAGAGTCTCCTATGTCCCTCCCTGACAGTGTGTACATATATGGGCAATCATGGGCAGGAAGCTGACGCTGACATATCATATAAATTTTCTTGCATTGATAGTTTTCAATTTCTATAGCAAGCATCTAGCGAGGCTCTACTAATACATGTAAGTGCATCTTTGTGATTCATACCTTGGTAGTAATATAGCAACTGTTCTCTGCTACTTGCCAGCTCTAACAAATATGATGATAAACTGTGTTCAAGCAATGCCTGCTGAAGCCCATCCTCAGTACTTTTGATGATCCCTGGAGCAGCCACCTAAACAAAAAATACTTACAATGCTCAATGTTGCTTCAATCAGTGACAAAATCAGTAATGAGACAATTGCCTAAAGGGCCTTTCAAACATGTTGCGAACTTCAAAAGGGGAGACAAGGGACAAGTCATAGTGTTCATATTATCTACATGTACATCTGTAGGTGATCATATTAAGTAGGCTCAGACACTATTTTTATCAACATAAAGATACCAAGGAGCAATGACTGAAAACAAAAAGCTAAGGAATTGAAACTTGTGTAATAGAGAGTAGAAAACATTATTAACTTTTTAATAACACAGTACTACGTACATAGTACAAGGTTCAAACACTGGAAGATAGAAAAATAGAATAATCAAATCCCTAAGAAAATATCACACTCCTATTCTGATTCTGTTTTTCAAGCAATAGAATCATATTAACAGGATACAATCTGTACAATTAGCACACAATGAAAATAGACAGTGCTGATTGTCTAAATCCTAAAGTCACCTAAAGGGAATGGAATGAAGGTACTGTAGGAGAATTTGTGACCCTCAACAGAAAAATAAGGCAGAAGGTAGTTGTATGGGCGTGCATACAGTACAGTCCCAAAATGAGGCAAATGCATGCACAAACTTCTTTTTGCCTCAGCCAGCTGGCAACATCTTAATTGCAGCTACAGTCACCTCCCAATAACTCAAACCAAAATCAATTTCTCCTGGATGGCCTTCATACATTTACTGTGATATTACCTGAGGTTATTCGAACACTCAATTGCTCGAACTTCCTGCTAACTTGAAGTATTTTCTTTTTTGTTTCCCTTCAGCTCAATCACTTCTATATAATTTTACCCTTGAGAACTCAAACCAATTTTCCTTGAGAATGACCTCTCATAAGTGACCACATGGTAAAACAATAGAGGTTATGAGAGCTCCAGTCAAACTCATTAACAACTCATAAAAAAATTGCTGTTCAGCAAATGTACTGTTGTCTTATTTGGCCACTGTAATTTGTTAAATTCATGCAACTTTCTTTCATAAATCAAGTGTTCCACATAAAAAGCTACAAAGAACAAATTAAGCTAACATTATTTTAATTGTGATCATACACCGAGTTGAAGTTTTACCGATGTTGTTGATGTCTCATTGGTGAAAGTTGCCGCTACATGTAAATGATAACAAATGCACTGTTGTCTTATTTGCATGCCCACTGTATTAAAATTGTTAAATTCTAGACAGCTTTCTTTCATAAATCAAGTAGTGACTGCTTAAAAAAGCTATAAAGAACAAGTTTATTAAGCTCACATTATTTCGTGATCATACGCCAAGTTGAATTTTTACCAATGTTGTTGAGATCTTGTGGGCAAAAGTTGCTGCTACACGTGAATGATAACTACACATATCAAAAGAGCTGACAAACTTTTACGGTGGAGAAACTCATCGCTAGCGATTTGCAGTGTATTTGGTTCTTCTAATCAAGGAAAGTGGAAGCGGTTTTCAGGTTTTTCCAAACAAAACGTCATGATCAAGTGCAGGGTCAAATGTCAATCGCAAACAAAGCCAAAAACTAAACAGTGTGCAGATGACAAGCTAAAAGAAATCTTCTTGAAAGAAACTTAACACTAAATCTAATGCACGTTTTCCTCAGTCTTTGACGTAACGCTAAGCAAAATTTTTAGTTGGCTTCTCGCTGGACATGTCGTTAGTAATTTATGCCAAAAATTACCACTTCAGTGATTCTCGGGCTATGCGATTCTAATTGCACATGCTAAGAATCATGTAGGAGTGATACAATTCTCATCGCGCAGGAAATAAGTCGCAACTGGTAAATTACTTTTGAGCGGTACTGTATTTTTTCTACTCTGGTTTCCTTGTGGTTATTTCCTTATTATGAACAAGAACACTCTTAGTAGCGTTGAGTCTCGCTTGCTTGGAGATGAGTTTTAATGTCAAAGGCCCCGGTGCCGTTATACTACTTTTTCGTTTGGAATACAAAACGAGTGTTGTATGTCATAATGTATACACTCAAAAAGTAAAAATTGCAAGGAGAGACAGGCTGCACATCTTAGCCTCAAACCGGTGTGGAACCTTTGAAAACCATCTACATATTGATATTGCTCCATTGAGGAGTACTCTTTCAGGGATTCTACACTCGAAAAATTGAACGATGATTTTTATCGGTATCAGGGGCCGATGACTCTGTCAGTATAAATATACATAGCTTCTTTGTACCGGACCAAGATACGGCTCGGTATAGTATATGTTGAGCACAGGAAAAAAGTGTAAGTTGAACAGAACCTTATACAACACACAGTTAATTCAGTTCGTGCGTATTCCTGCTGAATTTGTTGTCCGTTTTATAAGATATCAATATCACATGAAAGTAATGACATTTTCCGTAACTGATTAGTATCTACTTTTAATATCTCCGTACAGTCTCAGACTACAATGTTTAGAGTTGTACACAGCATGCATTTTAGATAGATAGATAGATAGATAGATAGGCAGAAAGACAGACACAGACAGACAGACAGATAGATAGATATCTTTTTTTAGATAGATAGATAGAGCTAGATAGATAGATAGATAGATAGATAGATAGATAGATAGATAGATAGATAGATAGATAGATAGATAGATAGATAGATAGATAGATAGATAGATAGATAGATAGATAGATAGATAGATAGGTAGGTAGGTAGGTAAGAACCTTAGTTTATGGCACGATAAAAAGATCAGCATTGCTGGTGGGGTCGTGCATACAACAATTACAAGAAAAATAAGGAGTACTGAAAGCAAATGTACACTTAAAAATTAAAAACTGTTAAAAGTTTTTTCTTGTATTACAGTATCACCAGGATAAAGCGTTTCATTTTCCCGGAAAATTTCACTTTATCGTCAAAACAATCACTGACTCAGATAGACTCGGATTAGTTTACTTGAATTTAGCATTCAGTACAGCGAACGGGGTTATGTTCTGTGAAATTTATCTACCGTCTGCGGCCCACATCGTCACTGATCCACCATTTATTTTATTTATTTTATTTTCAAGTTCTTTTTAACCGATCCTTGATCCCTGATTTCTCGATGCTCGATCCTCAATCCTGATTTTCCAGTAAACCTTGAAGTTTTGCTCATTAAGATTATTCTTTTTTTTTCGACCACTAAAGTGATAAGTTGTTCCAAAATAATCAACGTTTTCAAGCCATAGAATTCTTGGACCAACCCGTTCCGGAAAAGCTCGATATGGGATTTCTATTAACTATGGACATGAAGTGCTGCAAGTAGAGTGTGCGGTTAGTCAAGTTCAAAGCTACCCGCATAAACACACCCGTGACACGTTAGGGTGGATTTCTACTGATGCGTTTTTGGCTCCGCACGTTAACGCATGTAAATTTTAATCACGTAAATCAAATAGAGGTAAGACATAAAGTATTGAGATTAAAGGTCAAATTAAGCGAGTTTCTACTTTTACGCTTACGTAATTGTACGTGCAGCCTTTCATACATTGCCTTTATTTTATTTGCGAACGCAAATTTTACGCACGTGCGCACGTAAAAATTACGTGACAGTGGATACTTCATATCTCAAGTATTTATGAAGTGCAACACGACTTCACATCGTAACAACTGCGAAAATCTATCAATTAAATACATTAAAACACGCCTTAAAAAGCCACAAAATCCTGAGGATTTTCCCGCTATAATATTTTCTCATCCTGCTTGGGGATGTGCCTGCATGTCGCGCATAATTACACGAAAATCAAGGGCCTCCATTCGAGGAAAATTACGTCATTGCCAAACTTACATGCGTCATTTCAGTCATCGCCGAAATAAACTGCATTCTCATCACGAGACTCTTTTCCATACAATGAAAGTCGTCACGATTCTTATCCCCAGTTTCCACGGTCTTCGCTAGGAACGCGGGGCCTACAAACTAGGTCCCACCGATGAAAAAAAAAAACGACTGCATTTTAAGATTCTCGCTTTGCTTAAGCAAGCGAGACTAATTAGCTCAGTATGAAGTCTGCAAATGTCAGACATCATCCATTATTTAGGTGAAGCTATACAGTAAGCCACATGCAGTCAAAGCTAGACTGTCTATTTTTCATTGAAGCTGCAAACCATTAATTTTTGCTCACTGCCACACTGGCATTGCTTCGGAGAAAACAATCCTTTACGTTTCATACAGCTGTATGGGATGAAAACAAAAGAATTGGAAATTGAGTAATCAAAAGCGGGCAACACAGGCCCATCTCACCCACTTGTATGGCCTATCATATTACATGATTCCTTGCATGTTGCCTATCCCGGGGGGGGGGGTACTCCCATACATTACCTATACAGGTATGTGCCGCCCAAAGGGGTCGTGATTTTGAAGCTTTTGATTTAGAACGGGGTATCCATTTCAGAGGCAGGGTAGAACGGGGTATAATATTTCGAACGCACGAAAGCTCCACTTTTGTAAGCAGCCATTTGAAAGTGTTCAAGGACAGATTGCTTTTAAAAATACGGTTCAATGCGTTAACAAGCAAACCGTTGTACTCTTGTTGCACCCTAGAACGGAGTATAAAAAATTGGCCCATTTCTAGAACGGGGTATCAGTTTTAGGGCGAATTCTAGAACGGGGTATAAAACAATTGGCCCATTTCTACTACGGGGTATCAATTTTAGGGGAAAATTTTTGTAGAACGGGGTGCCAATTTGGAGTCCCGGGCGGCACATACCCACCCAAAAAATACCCAAGTGCCCCCCCCGGGCCTCTGAGCAAGCAAGATGAAGACATTATGTACCTTGTGTTTTTTTAAGAGTGATACACCAAATGATGTGATGTAGGACTGAGGTTGTAGCTGTATGGAGTCAATACTTGAGAATAAAAGCCGTTCAACACTGATTCCTATCCACAGTTGGTTGTCCTTTGTAATTTTTTTTTTCACGTTCCTTTGACTGTTTAACTCAGTTTAACCTTTGCTTTAATCGAGATGAAATAAAAGTAAGAGACGCATCATGGTCTGTTGAAACTGAAATCTAATCTTTAAATTTCACAAACCACATCTCATCGCCAACGCAATATTCAATGTAGTTTGGGTAAATCGTTATTAAGCTGTCATACAAATTCTCACCCAAGGCAAAATTTCGTTTGCGCATGTTTTACTTCCATGTATAAAGCTGACTAGATTACGTTAGCTTACTTGTTTGCCTCTTTGCCCGTGCCTAAGTATGCGTACTATATCATCGATGATTCTTTCTTGAACCTCTAATATAGCCCAGTTGTTTTCTGTGTCCATTACTATAAGCCGATTAACTGTTCGTTTGAGCGCCTTTAGCAAAGAACATCTTTCTTTTGCGCGTTCCACTCCTCCATCCTCGTCGTCCGCCATCTTTGTTATGACTTACCCATGACGTCACCAGCAGGCCTTTTACACCCATCGGAGACATCTCACTTGCCATACACCCAGAGCCTTCTGGCATACAACAACATGGTTGCTACGAAGCAGACGAAGCAGTGATTTTTGTCTTGACGAGTTTTTTTATAAGGAGCAATGTCACCTGTACGGCATGGGCAGCGTGGTATTTGCAAGTGAAGTGATGTACGCTCTCCTATTTTCAAGCTTTAAGGTACAGGTGTTGAGCTCTCGGTTCGTACAAATATCTACATTCCAGATTATTTAAAATTTGCACAACTGAACCAAACTACAGTAACTTCATGCATATACTCTGTAGCTGTTAAAAGAACTTCTTTAACAATAATTAACTAACTGTTTTAACCTTTTAGTTGCATACCCTAGGTATATATAGAAGAACCAAACAGAACTTGGTGCGTTAAACAACACTTTGATTTGGCTAAAGTGTCTAAAGTCTTGGATAATCAAAGGCAAGTTGATGTGGTATTTTAGATGTTTCAAAGTCTTTTGATTTGGTAAATCATTCTCTCGTGATAAGGAAGTTAAATCAGTATGCTGTGGGAGACTAGTTCTTGAATGGTGTAAGGATTATCGAAGAAACCGTCCACAGAGGGCCCCCGTACGAAACTTGCAGCGCTGTACAAGCCACAAAATCACTTCAAAATAGCTGTGCAGCTAAATTACAGCTTTTCAGCAGCATTTTAGAAGCCAAACAGCAGGTTAATTCAAGTTGCAGTGGGATGCAAAAGTGCTGTGCAGCCTTTGAAGCTCTCGGCAGCAGTTTAACTGTTTTGCAGCGCAGTTGCCCACTTTCAAATGCTTCCAAGTAGCTGCCGTAATGCTACAATTCAGCTGCGGTCGATCTGACTTTCTTGAGCACCAATAACATGAATCACCAGATAAAGCCTTGCTAGCTACAGATTACAGCTTTTATAACGCAAAAACTGTGACTGTACTGTACCTCTAAGAAATGTGAGTACGCTTGCAGTGCGCAGGGAAGATCACTTATTGAATAAACCTCCAAGTATAAATTAAGATTTCAATAAATTTCATTCCGTGATTTGTGAGTGTGGGAATGTTATGTTATCGCTAATTCCTGGAGACATTGTAGGCCATAATCTAATTGTTCGGTCCTTTTGCATGAGATCCCATTACATCTCTAGACAAACATTTGTGACCGTTGAATGAAAGGCACAAACATTATAAGTTTTTTTGCATCTAGTTCTGTTTCGCGATGGAGGCTCTGTTGATGTTTTTGGATGGAACAACTTTTTAAGGTATTCGCAAACAATGCACTGTACAGGGGCACCCCAACATCAATTTTTGGAAAATATCTGTTCGGAAGACGATTTGAGATCTAGAAGTTTCGGAACATTTGCTGTGAAATTTTTTGCTAGCCTGCCTCTGCTAGGATTTTTGAACATCTAAGAAATGGAGTAATTGCCCATTTTTAACAGATTTTTACCCTAAAAAGCTTACCTAGAATTACCTAGAAGGTAAGTTTTGATCCCTATAATTTTCAGATCACTAGACTTTCAGCTAGGAAATCTGCACAGGTGGAAAATTTTTAGGGGATAGAAATATGCCCATATCTACCGTTTAAATATTAAAAATGTTCAACAATGCTATGGATTTTCGGTCATCTAAAAAATGGTATAATTGCCTATTTTTAACGGATTTTTACCCTAAAAAGGTCACCTAGAATTTTCGGGAGCCTTTTTTCTGGCTAAAATTTTCGAAAAGGTAAGTTTTGATCCCTATAATTTTCGGATCTCTTGACTTTCAGCTAGGAAATCCGAACGGATGAAAAATTTCTAGGGGATAAAAAAATGCCTATATCTACCGTTTAAATACTAAAATACGTTTAACAATTCTATGTTTAAGTGGTTTTGAACTATATTCTCGTTGGGTGCCCCGATTTCCGGCGCTGTCTCGGAGAAATAATTTTTTCCATAGCGAAAGTGTGGCTTCTTGCTTGGGATTAATATTTGCAATTTTCCGGAGGTCGTGCCCTCAAAACACTAATGAAACAACACGCAGAGATGTCACTGTTTGTAAAACACGTTGCCGATAAACAACATTTCCCTTTTTTTCTCTGACGCTACAGTAGACATTGCCATGCCTAGTCCCTGTACAGCGTCTTCCCACGCAATCTCGGTCAACAGGTCAAGGCATTTCGGACCACGTGACCCGAAACGCATTAGCCGCACGGAATAATGCGGCCTACAGACAAGGCAACGGCAGACAGTCGTTCCGTACAGTCCTTCACTATCATTAAAAACACTGGACACGGGAATTTTGTTATTGGCCGTTTTCACACTAGAGCTTGAAATGGATCATCCGTCTGAGATTAGCCTGTGTACAGTCGCGTCCTCCCCACAGACACCCCTTCTCCGAAATTTTCCGAGTGGAGGGGGCGGCCTTACACAGGCTATCTGGAACGGATAATCCCGTCTTCAAAAGTCAGGCAGATTGTTCATTCAAAATTAAAACTATTCCATTTTCAAATTAAGACGTATTGGGTTGTTCCAGAAAAAATCCACACCCCCCCGACGGATGGGATTCTGGAAATTCTCGCGGGAGGGGGGGTCGAAGACTCCGGAAATCCAGGCGGGAGGGGGGGTTGACCTTAAAAAAGTCTTCTGCAGGGGTCATTTCGACCGATAGTTGATACAAATCAAACGTTTAGTTCGATGACACTTAAGTGCTTTCAGACCCTGAAAATAGTCAAAATGTTTTGTTCATATATTTCTCACCTGACATAAATGATAATCTAAGTTGCTTTACAGGTCCTTTTATAGCAGAAAACGCGAACAAGATACTAAAGAACGGGCCTGAACGAACTCGTCGCAACGTTGTTGTCACGAAGAGTCAAACGCCTGACACATTTCTACTGCACCCAGAGCCCCACAAGAGTTTAAGAGTGATTTTATAAGCTAAGAAATTATGTAAACACTGCTCAGGTGTCGATTCGCATTTTTGTTTTTTGCTCCTTTCGTTTTTTAGTTCCACGCGATAGAATTCTTAGTTTAATATAAGCTGAAGCTTTAGAAATTAAAACAAAAACATTTAGACGTGTTTGCATGTATTTTCCATTAAAAATAAATTAAATTTAAGCCTTTTATTTTTTCCCGAAATCCAGGCGGGAGGGGGTCTTCCACCTTGAAATCCAGTTGGGGGGGGGTCTTGTGCTTCAGGAAATCCAGGTGAGAGGGGGGGTTAAAAAAGGACCCCATCCGTCGGGGGGGTGTGGATTTTTTCTGGAATAACCCATTACCTATCTGACGCGAATCATCAAACGGATAACCCATCTCACACGAATAATCCTTCTCTAGTGTGAAAACGGCCATTTCTGTTATAATGAATGTCGTGCCCCGGCCTTGAGTTGGGCGTTCGCGTGTCTGCTTTTGCTTTTTCACAAAGATTATTTTTAAATTGACTGTTGACATTTCTAAGTGTAAAATAATATTAGAAGTGGAATACCTTATAAAAAGTGTGATCTATCAAATGTTAAAATTTTTCAAAAGAATAGCTTATTTCATCCCGAGATGATACGAAGACCTTTATTCAAAAAAATACAGGTTAATTAATATTTAATTTTTTGAAACAAAAGAAGTTAATTTTTAACTTTTTCGTTAACCGTAACTGAAAAAAATTAACCGATAGCCGTAAAAGAGCCAAAATTTTAGTCGATAACCGTACAGGCCACCACCCCATTCGCGGTTGGTCACCCATCCAGTTCGTAACCCGGACCGACAGGGCTTAACTTGAGTTCCGTAACCAAACCGAGTTTCGTGAGGGTTATTTCGAGATACTTATTTCTAGTACTAATTTGTAATTTATGTTGTTGAAATATATCCATTTTTATAATTAATTTGTAAAAATGGACAAAAAAGAATGGCTGTCATTATTGTCTACATATCTATAACTGACTGTTTATTAGTTCGATCCATAACTAAAATATTAACCATTACCCTTGAGAAAAAGACTCAGACTTCCAGGTTTCAGTTTGAGAAGTTAAGTTTTTGTTCATCAGATGTTTTGGGACATTTCTGTACAAGAAGTCACGTACACAAGTAAAATTTTTTAACCATGAATTTATAACGTACACTATCTAATTAAAAATTAACTGTCACATAGAATAGCTAATGATTTTGCCAATAAAACTACCAGTAATTAGCAGGGGAAAGCAAACTTTCTATATTTTTTTAGAAGAAAAATACCACTCCATTCTAGTTTGCCTAAAAAATTTCACACTTGCAGTCTGATTCCCTTAAGTGACCACCTCTTGTAAGCGACCACCAAGCCTTAATATTTGCATTTTGGGTGGTTGCTTAGGGGAAGTTCAACTGTATTTTTGCAGTGCAATTTTCAATGATTAACCATAATTTTTATAGCGGAGCTCTTGCCCGCTTGAAGCACACACAGTGGAGCACCATGGGTATAAAAATTTAGTTATCTGAGTATGCATCCAAGAAATTTTGGTTTGTCCATATATGTCCATACATACATCCACCCCTTCATGTTAGCGAATGTAAAATGGCACACTTTAATACAAGTTAGGAGTCCAAGGCATACATACTTATCTGTGGAAACCTTGGTATTGGACATCAATGTTATGGTCAATTGACAGTGTTAAAAAGGCTATCCTCTGGCCAGTGTCATATGACTGTAACACAGGCTCAGGTATATAACTCATGGAAACAAGAAACAGAACTATGAATCACAACTTCATTCCTAAGCACATGGTTTTTTACTACAACACTACATAGGGGGAATCACTGACATAATAAAAAGTCACGCAACATGTCACATCCTCCCCAATATAAAAAAGAAAAAAATATACAAAACCAAAACAAAACTAAAACTATTGAGGACCAAATCCGAATTAAATCACAAAAAAGGAAAATGGCTATTAATCATGCCTAGTAGCATTAGGTCAATGTCAAACACACGTATACAAATTGAAAGGGCCAGTGTTCAGGAACAAGTGTTGGCATGCGTAACACGAACAATCTCTTAAGTTTTCAAGAGTGTATGTTCAATAGCAATAGCCTCAAGTCGTTAATAACAGATACTCAAATGCCAACAGCAGGGTTAAAGTTCAATGTTCAGTGGCAAGTGTTCAAGTCACATCGTCCTTGAGATGGCCTGGTCTTTTCACAATTCGCCCCGAACAGGTTCTGGTCATTCCAACAAAATCTTGCTCCACTGTGTCGTTGCAGGGCTCGATGTATGGGGCTTCCTCAGTGTCAACTGTTTCCTCCAAATGTGCTCGGTTACCAGTGTCATCAGGATAACTTGACACTTTGGATGATTCCTTGAAGGTCACCTTTTGGGGCAGCTTCGTTAGTTTTAAATGGACCCTGTGACGCCTCTAAGAAGAGCCATCTGCTGTCTCTACTTTATACGACCTCTCGATCATCAAGTCCTTCCATGACCACCCCATTCTTCCATTCCTTTTGTCCCTGAATGAATATGGTTTGATTCTCACTGTGTCTCGAATCCCTCTCTTAAGGTGGGTACAGCTGTAAGTCATTAGTACCAGTATTGAAGAAAGAATGAGCTTGCCTTTTTTGCACATCTCTCAGTTTGTCTCTCTCGTGGCTTATGTTCAGGTTCCTTGGCTCCAGCAGATTGCCAGTTGTGGGAAGAAGAGTCCTCGTCCTCCTGTTCATGAGTCTCTGAATTAGACTGCTCCCTATGCCTTGTGATGGAATATTGTGCTCAGCAAGAAACCCCAGGTAGTCTCGTCACCGCAGCAGTCTTGCGGAGGAAACGTTTGGCAGAATTGACAGCTGCATCCACTTTCCCATGCCTTACTATTGTAGGGGGATGTCGTTATACTTGATGCATCTAAATCTTAATACGCATTTTTTTCGGTACACATACATGTTTATGTAGACTTCAAAACTGACCGTATTTTGACGTATGCAAGTATGCGCGAGCACTAACACAAAAGGTCTGTAACGAAGTTGAAAACGGAGAGAGAGGCTCGCGCGTAAGACTCTTACGCTACGCTAGACAAAGAACTAGACAAAGGACGGCTGTGTGTGGGAGACTGACGCCTGATTGGCTTTTCCTGGCCATATAGTAACATTCTAGAAATAGTTTGGGCGCTCTCAGGTTTTCTGATCACGTCCAAACTACGTAGCCTCCCTGAGTAGATTTTAACTGCATTCTATTCGTTATCGTGCTTGATTCCTGCTGTATTAGCAAGACACTGTCTCGTGTTTATAAAGGACAGACCGGTTTCCAGTTTAGGGGTCTTCGTTTTTGAGTTTTTGGGTGCTTTGTTTTTGAGATTTGGATGCTTCGTTTTCGATAGGTGCTTCGTTTTCGAGATTTGGGTGCTTCGTGCTTCGGTCTTCTTTTTCAAGTGCTTCATTTTCGAAACTACCGTTGAATAACAGCTACTTCCCTACAAGTCATTGACGTGCCACATACTGACTTCTAACAAGGCGCCAGGTTTTGACAAGGTGCCTGTCTCAGTAGAAAAGGATTGTCTTTTGAGTACATTTTGCCAACAATAACTAGCATAATGACAACCACTCATTTACTAGCTCGATTTTTCCACGAGCCTTCTGGAAAAATGGTGAAGTGGTCCCCCTGGCCTCATCTTAAAGATGGGGATCACGAAGTACCAAATAATAATTGTCCTGTCTCTCTACTGCCTGTGCTCTCCAAGTAGCTGAGAGAAATTTGCCTTGGGTTAATTTAACAACTTCTTAACCCAGAAAACCGTCTCACTGGTCACCAAAGTGGAAACTGGAAGCACCACTTGATGGAAACATAGTAAGCGATCACATCTTCAGTGCCATTGATAAAAAGCAAATTACGGCAATGGTGCTTATTGACTTAAGCAAAGCCTTCGACAGCCTATGCCATTCAACCCTTTCTTCCTCTATGGTTTGAAAGTTAGCTTAAAATACATTAAACTGACAACAGTGTCTCATGTTGCAACTTCACTGTCGGAACCACTCGCTATTACACATGGCCTTCTTCAGGGCTCAATTCTCGGTCCAATGCTTTTCAGCCTGTGCATGAACAATTTACCCGATTAGTCATAAAGCTAAGCCTAATAACATTGAAATTATGACACTAAGATATATTTTCTTGTTTGCGTCTAAAGACATTGATTCATGTCACGCAAAGTTGCTGAGGATATCCATCATGTTGCAGAGTGGTGTTGTGCCATACCACTTTTTTATTAATCCTGACAAAACCAAGATTTTCCTGGTTGTGGTGTAAGGCACTTCATCTCCATTCCAAGTTGCCCGGGGGCTTTTATTAGATTGCAGGTTGTTTTTGTTTGAGAGATCATGAGATCATTTATGGTGTAGCATATACAAGTATTCCAGTTGTCTCTGTCTTGAGAAAGCCTCTGGTAAATATCACTGCATGGGTGCAAAGAGTCTTCACAGTAATATTGTTCAGGTATAATCCATAATTATAGGCTCAAAAAACTCAAGTGGTGACGTGGGGACTGCAAATGTGAGTGGAGAGTATGAGGCTAATTTTGAAGTTGCAGTTTACAGGTGACAAAGAAAAACTTGACATCTACTTTAATTTATCATAATCCAGATATGCCTGTGAAAAAAACCAAAAAGAAAAAAAGTGGAAAAAAGAGTGCTAAGAAAGGTCTTAAGGGACTTCAGAGTATTGCTGAAGTACTCAAGTCATTGAGGCAGCAGTATGAGACAAAAAGCAAGGACTCTAACAGTTACCCACACCCTGATGTAAAGAAGCTTATCAACCACCATGCAGATAATAACAGTCTCTTAGCCAAGGTCAGTAGTTCTTACTAAAATGATCTAGAGCTGTATAAATATAAAGTTTAGATTAAATACCTGTTTACTCTAAAGAAATTAAATATTATGTTGTTTGTATTAGGTTCGATAGATGCTTATGTCATTGGCTGGTTTATTAGAACAGCAGTGTTTGATATCCACTTAATTGGTATTACTGAAAGTGTCTCCTAGACTGATGATCTAGTGTTAGGGATTTTCACATGACAACACCAAAATTCAAACTATTAATTAGTAACTATTGATTCCTCTGAGTTTCTACTTTCATGAGGTTTTACAGCACCTAAAAACCTTCATTTACACAAATTTTCGGTTACTTGAATTTCCAGGCTTTTGCATGACACGGCATTTAAAGCTGATGGTGGCTGCAGGGATCTCTTCATCCTCGGAGACCCAGTGAGACCGGTCAGTCGGGCGGGGGAAAAGGCGCGACGAAAGTTTTCAAGCACAGGCGGAAAAGCCCCTGGGTACCGACTCTCATCGGACGATTTCCAAATGGTCATGGTCAAGCGAATGCTGGCTCCTGATTGGGTACAAAAAATGCTTTGTATTATTGTGCCCAATTGGCGAACAGCATCTCCTGAGTTCTTCTCGTGAGTTCGTACACTACGGCCTATTATCTCACCACATTTGCCAGGTTCGTTCACCAAGCTTTCCTAATCAGAGACGAAGGAACTACCTATCAGTCGAAAACCGTTTGGATGGTACCAGCAGGAGCAATTCAGATTGCACTAAGAAAATTCTGTTTCTGATGGATCAATTAATAGGCTGTTTAAGATGCAGCGGAGACGAGAAAGTAAAAAGGCAATGGCTTGACAAGGGAAAACAACGACTTTGCACGCGCATCACGCTTTTTTGTACATTTCTTTGCCGTCACTGCACGACTACCACGTGAAAATGCCTAATTTCACGTTTAGTGAAGGACTTAAACAAGCAATGAGAAAATTTTCTTTCTCTTGAACTTGGGTATATGGTTGACGGAAATTCACCCCCAGAAGGGTTCACTTGCATTTGACAAAGTATTAAGCGAGTTGGAATAATCACGATAAAGACTGAAAAAATGTGAATTCACTTTTCATGCCACGTTTTCGTGGCATCTTAAACTTCCTAATATTTACGAAGGCATGATCGATGAAAGTGTGAATACCTGTTGTAAGCTCAAGCTTGTATTTGTGGAAAAGCGTCTTCAGTTTTCGGGTAGACAGTATTTTGAAATGGAGAGTTTATATCAAACTTAAAGTTTCCAGACTGCGTGCATTTCTTTGGTACGTGAGCCAGACAAGCCGTGATTGAGTCAATAGCCGGCGTGTACGAACTCACGAAAAGAACTCAGGAGATGCTGTTCGCCGATTGGGCACAATAATACAAAGCATTTTTTGTGCCCAATCAGGAGCCAACATTCGCTTGACTGCTTGGAAATGGTCCGGTGAGAGTCGGTACCCAGGGGCTTTTCCGCCTGTGCTTGAAAACTTTGGTCGCGCCTTTTCTCCCGCCCGACTGACCGCCACTGGGTCTCCGAGGATGGGATCTCTTATGTAGGTTAAAAAAGTAATGTTACTGATTTTTTTGAGATTTTGCTATCTAAACATTCCTTGTCTTAGAATAAATATTACTTTAGTCTTTATGAGTTCCTCAAGTGATGAATATGCTTAAGTAGGAAAACTAAAAAAAAGATGTTTCTGTTAGTTTCTGGCGGCCATATTTGTGCCCCTTAAAGGGACGCCAACATGATGGCATCTCTATACAAATTAGCATTTTATATTTGGGTAAAACGTTTTTCTGAATATCTCGCATATGAATTATCACATAGTCCTGTTTCTTGGCAAGGCTTTTTGAATATTTATCTTCTTTTATTTCCCAGAATTTCTGGACTTTCTGTATTGACTGGTTTGCATTTTTGTTTTGATGGCCACGTGACAGTGAAAATACAGAATAGGCCATTTTCATGATGATGGCATGCTCCATGAAATTAAGGCGAATCGTTAAAATTCGCGTTAATTTTGTTGAGCATTAATTTCCGCGACGTTAATTAAGTGCAGCGTTGATTTCCGCGCTCTTAATTTCCAGTATTTTAACCCCAATTTTGGAGCCTGTCCAGACATTCTTGACACCTAAAAAACATTAACTAGAAGCTTTCTTTCTTTCCATTTACCCTTTATTTTTCATCCTTCACAAAAGCTAAGGCGAAGGTTTTACAATATTTCGAGTTCATCTTTATCGTTGTCGCTGTCAGAAGTGATGCTCAGTTTTGTTCAGCTTTGAATTTTTTTGCATCCAGTGTTGAAAGAAATTTGTTCCAGTTGTCACCACCAACTGTCTTAATCGCGTTAATTTCCTTTATTATGAAATTCTACCTCCTCTTTCGCGTTAATTTTCTTTATTCGAAAGTCTTTTGCCATTAAATTCGCGTTAATTTAAGTCGCGTTAATTTCCAATACCTTAATTTCATGAAGCGTTAATTTCCTATAATAAGGTACATTTTGAATGAATAATAAGGATTATTAAGCTACTAACTCATACAATAATACTATTTTCCAAATTGTATTAATGTTTTTTATTTTGACAGTTCATTCTAACTCCTGGACCATCAGATGAATTGCCAGTAAAAGTACCCCCTCTGCTGACAGCAATAAGGAGTACACGTTATGTTCATGTAAAGGAACTCTACATATGGGATATACCCATGAAACATGAAGACATTTCCACGTTGGTTGGTAGTAAATACATAGGGTGCTTTTTTTATATCAATTTTTAAGTTGTAGCTGACATTTAGCTATCTTGTTATCTTTCTTGTTTTTAAATTACCAGTAGTGCACTTAATTAACCCTCGATGAGTGATCAGGACCTGAAATGTCCTTTTCTGGCCTGTGTGGAACCCGATTACCGTATTTATTCGAATAAGCGGCGAACCTCGAATTAGCGCCCACCTCGAATAAGTGCCCATTCTAAAGGAGAAAAAGTTAATAAGCGCACAGCCTCGAATAAGCGCCCACCCCCTCCTCCTCCCAATCAAACTCAAATAAGCGGCTCACCCCCACCCCACCCACTTAAGTGAATAAGTTCCAATAAGAGACTTCCCCGAGGACGGAGTTTTCTTCAGAGTATTTTACAGAAACCTTGCTTTGTTACTTCTTCGCGTTTTGTTATTAGCATTTTTGTTTTGTTGCAAAATAAACATACTTCACTTGCTGAAGATGGTGAAAATTTTTTATAAGTGCCCAGCTTCGAATAAGCGCCCCCCTCAAATAAGCGCCCACTCTCAAGGTCCAAAAATTTAATAAGCGCCCAGGGCGGTTAATCGAATAAATACGGTACCACTTATGCAGGTCTTATTCTATTCTGCGAAATGAAACGAAACGAAACAAAAATATGGGGGAGAGAGAGAACATTTTTAATATCCTAAACACAGTTCAAGACAACATTTAAAATGTGTTTGGAAGTAATAGTTAACGAATAATGACGTATTTTTACCTGTTTCGCAAACTAGTAGTAATTTCACTAGAATTGCTATTTTGCGAAATGGCTTTTTTTTTCACCTTTATTTAGCAAATATGTGTCTTCGTCTGAAAGAAATTGTGTCCACCAATAAAATGATTAATATTTCAAAGAATCTGGGCACCTCTCATTTTATAGACCGTACTACAACTCATTTCATAAAGTAGTAATTTTGCCAGAATTACTATTTTGCGAAATGCAAAGCGCTTAAAACAGCGATGTATAAGCGCTATATAAATTCCATTATTATTATTAAATGGCGGTTTTTCACCTTCATTTAGCAAATATATCCTTTTTCGTCAGAAACAAATTGTGTCCACCATTAAAATAATTAATATTTCGAAGAATCTGAGCACCTCTCATTTTATAGACCGTACTAGAACACATTTCGCAAAGTAGTAATTCTGCCAGAATTACTATTTTGCGAAATTTCGTTTTTTCACCTTTATTTAGCAAAATGTCGGAAACAAATTGTGTCCACCAAGTGTATTATTCAGACACTTTTGGTTCGCAGTGAAGTTTAGTCTTTTCCAGCGGGTCATAAAAAATATATTTTTGTAAACATAAATATGATCAATTCCCCACGAAAAATCTGGCAATTTCTCTTTTAGTACTGAATCGTATTAAAAGTCATTTCATAATGCAGTAATTTTACAAGAAATTATAACTATTGTACGAAGTTAGCAATTTTCACCTTTTCTGAAACAGGGCATTCGTTGTCGTATCATAAAGTGATTAAAAATAAAACAATGTACATTTGCATCTACGACCTATCTACGCTATAACCCCAAACCAAATCAATGCTAACGCCTTGTTGAAATTTACAAAGTTTATCATCATTTAAGTCGTTCCATTAAGAGCTAATACATCATTGTTGGAGTGAGCTAAAAAGCTTAAGGCTGTTGGTGAGGTCACTGCGTACTAGCAATGCGTGCAGTTTTCAAGATATGTGGAAATAAAAGTCAGCCAGGCCTACAACTAGTCGAAAAGCTGGTTAGGCCCTTGATTGCTTGCTGATCATGGTCGTGAGCTTTCTTTGCATGTCTGATCAACAACATTTGTCCTGTATTGACACGTTTCTCTATTAAAGTTTTGCTCAAATGAATTTTCAACAATGCGAAAGGCCGTCTCCTATACATGTAGGTTTTGTTGCGAACCTCGAGTATTTCGAATTAAAACATTTATCCGACGACAGCCTTGGACAAAAATCTGCTACCAACAGATTTGCCAAGCAATCTTGAAGCTGAAGAATTACAGTCGAAAAAAGCAGCAAGTAGCGGGAACTGTGTGTATAATTCTGCTTCGATTGTCCTTAACGGAAATGAAGATCTATTCCACTATTAAGGCTTCTAACTGCAGTTGAATGGCATAAGAATGTACCATTCTATGCATCACACCCAAACTTACCTGAAGGTGCAAGCGACTGTGGTCTTCTAGAGATTAGCTTGTTTATCCAGTGTTTGTCTGAGAGTGGGCTTAAAGTATTTGAAAACACGAAGGATCGCATCAAGGTTGTAGAAGGTGAAGCTATTGCTGGATGCTGCGGCAAAAAATGGCCCGTAATTATGCACATCATGGCTCTTTCGACTGTTATTGGCAGGCCAATATTCTCTCTTTATCCCGAATGCAACACAAATACTCGTGCCCTTTGTCACAAAGAAATCTTGCCACGAGATTATGATACAAAGAAACGAGACATCAGTGCCAATACAGCGATGATTCTTTGGTCCAGGGACAGCAACCTAGACCACCACCCCAGAAGCTGGTATGAGCCAACTCACTTCGTACCAATATTAGTACCAGTATTAGAGAAAGACCAGCGTGATGGGGTGCAGAAGGAAAAACGACGAAAAATAAGTTATTTTTTTATAAAACATTGCTCCCTACAATCGAGGAAGAAAGTACTCCACCTGTTAAGAAGCAGTGTTTGGAAGAGGATGAACGCAATCCACCAAAACATGGCGACAAGAGTGAGAAAAGGGTTTATTAAGAGAAGGCGCAGTTAAAAGCTTCACCAGAAGGAGAAGAAAGGAATGACAAAACAGCGAAAGAGAGATATGAAATAAAGAGGCAGCGCGTCTTTCAGGCCCACTGGAAAGAAGTGTATCCTTGGGTTGAACGTGATTCCATTAGCGATGTAATGTATATATAACCTTTCAAACAGAGCTATAATTGTGTTCACAATTGAGTGTAACATGTTACGAGGACTTGTCTAAACCAGTGCTTATCCAAACATTTGTGGAAATCAGGGATGCCAGGTTTTTGTGTGTTTTAGCAGACAGTGCCACAGACGAGTGTCACACAGCAGTTGACTGTTTTTGTACGTTATACTGATTCAAATAGGAGACCATCAACACAGTTTTCTGACCTTGTCTCCCTTCAGTCTGCCGATGCTAGTGGTATAACAAATGCTATTAATAAAGGACTTGAAGCTGTACAGCTTGATGAAAGTGTGTTGAGTTAAAAGTTAGTAGGCTGCAATTTTGATGGTGGCCAATGTTACGATTGGGACCAAGGGTGGAGTGAGTAAGAAGCCGGAGGATAAAGTTGGTCACCCACTATTCATCATCCACTGTGTAGCTCACAAACTGGAACTGGCTGTACTTGATGCTGTGAAGAGGTGCCCTCACCCTCCAACATTTGAGGATACAGTTAAAGAGGTATACAAGTTTTATTATTCTCGAAAACGACGACGAGAGGTCAGTAAGATTGCCAATATAATCGGTGAAGATGCAGTCTATTACAGCGGTCTGCAGAAGACAAGGTGGCTGGCAAGCAGATACCGCGGTATAACTGCCTTGGAGAAGCACTATGTCACTACTGTTATGCACCTGCAGCATAAAACTGGATCCACTGGTGAAGATGGGGAACATGCCAAGGGAATTCTGAAAAAAAGTCTGTCCGAGAGGTTTCTCAAACACCTTTACTTCTTGTTGAATGTGATGAAGATTTTGTCAGAGCTGAGTAAATCTTTCCAAAAATATGAACTTTGCATAACAGACGTGGTTACAAAACTAGAGACGACCGTGATCATGTTAGAAGAGTTGAAGCTCCAAAGGGGAGGTCATTACAGAAAGTTTATGGAGAGTTATTCTGAGGAAACAGCAGTGTTCATCTGTGGCAAGGACCACCAACTAAAACTGACACATGCAGGCAACATGCTTGATCAACAGTTTGACACTTTTCTTACGGTAGTCCTGACTTACTGGAAGTCAAATCGTCGAGAGAAACCCTGCAGCTTGTTCAGAATATTCGACCCACGAGAGATGCCTCAGACCCTCGCGGCCTATGGGCGTAATGAAATTCGCTCCCTCGTTCAGTACTTTGGGTACCTCCTTACTGAGAAAGAGAAGGAAAATATCCTTGATCAGTGGCCCATGCTCGGTACCAGACTCAGCAGACAAAGGGCAAACAATCCAGTTCTAGCGTCAAGACCTGATGACGTGAAAGGCTGCCTCGTACTTGTAGACCTTATGATGACATTGTCACAATCCACAGCCAAATGTGAAAGGAGCTTCTCGGCGATGAACCAGCTTGAGAGTAATGTACGTACACGAATCTCACAAGGAATCTTGGTAGATTTAATGAGGGTTCCTTCCTCTGATATTTCCACCAAGGAATACTGTTCTGGTCCTGCCATTTCCCACTGGATTTTGGATGCAAAGACGACGGGACGTACTGTAAATAGTGATTAAACTCGTGGTTGTAGAACGTTTACTACGCATATTGCCTAATTTTAAGCACAGTACTGTTGTAAATCGACTTGGCTGAGATTCTCACTTGCAAATCACTTGTAGCTTTGTAAGACTGTTCTATTAGCGTTTGGTAGCCTTTTGTAATCTTGTAATCTTGCAGTACTGTTGGAAATCGACTTGGCGCAGATTCTTACATACACATCAGTTGTAGCTTTGTAAGACCGTTCTATTAGCGTCAAGTTACCTTGTAATGATTTCACAATGTAATGAGAGTATTTGAACTGGTTTTAAATGCAGCACGAACCTCTGTTTAGTATGGACATTTTCACAAGAGGTTAAAACCTCTATTTAGTATGAATATTTTCACAAGAGGTTAACCAGTAATATGTAGTTTTTAGCATTGTGTTCAAAGAAAAACGTTTGTCTGTTATTTGGACCTTCATTCCGTTAGCTTCACTTAAATTCCTTATTTCATCATTGTGAGTTGACTTTCAAGACAAAGGCATTTATAATCAAAAGGTTAAGACTGAATTATTGTACTAGTGTGTCAAGAGTATCTTACCAGGTCTACTTATAGTTCACACTTTTACGGTTATTCATTGGTGTTGTTAAATAACTACAGCTGATTACAATGAATAAATAAAGCCAGTAATTTATTAACTTACAGTGTAATTAGGAAAGGAATAACTTTTTTTTTTATTCTGCTCGCGAAAAACTTTTTTCGGGCTAGTAGATGTAACACTGACTTTCTTTACACCCTGACCAAAGTGCACCCATCTGCACCAAGCTCCACCAAACTGCACCAAAAAGCACCAAATTGCACCAATCTGCACCAAGTTGCACCAAACTACACCACGTTGCACCAAACCGCACCAATCTGCACCAAGTTGCTCCAAACTGCAGCAAGTTCCACCAATCTGCACCAGAGGGCACCAAGTTGCACCAGTCTGCACCAAACTGCACCAGGTTGCGCCAACGTGCACCAATCTGCGCCAAACTACACCAAGTTGCTCCAAACTGCACCAAAGACACCAAGTTGCGCCAATCTGCACCACGTTGCTCCAAACTGCACCACGTTGCACCAATCTGCACCAAGTTCCACCAAACTGCACCCGAGGGCACCACTCTCCACCAAGTTGCACCAAACTGCACCAATCTGCACCAAGTTCCACCAAACTGCACCAATCTGCACCAGAGGACACCAAGTTGCACCAATCTGCACCAAGTTCCACCAAATTGCACCAATCTGCACCACAGGACACCAAGTTGCACCAAAGTGCACCAATCTGCACCAAATAGCACCAAGTTGCAACAATCTGCACCAAACTCTACCAAGTTGCACCAAACTGCACCAAGTTCCACTAAACCGCACCAATCTGCACCAAAGGGCACCCAAGTTACACCAATCTGCACCAATCTGCACCGAGTTCCACCAAACTGCATCAATCTGCATCAAGTTCCACCAAGCTGCACCAATCTGCACTAAACTCCACCAAAGGGCACCCAAGTTGCACCAATCTGCACCACGCTCCTGCTGGTACACAGATTTGAGTACTAGAGGCGTGAGATTTAAGCCGTTGCATCTTGGCAGGTATCCCAGGAGGGTACTTCCCATAATGGCCTAGATTCGAGCCTAGATATTTGAAAGAGGTGCTTTTTCGTCAAAAATGGTGCATAAACGGTTAAGGGGTTGGACCTCGATGCGGAGCCTCCACGCATAAAACGTTGTCACCGAGTACCTCCCTCTGGGCAGGTATTCTAAAAAAAGTGACAGAAAACGGAATATGCCATTATCTTAGCCGCGGCATAGCCCTCATTCACACGTTGGTTCGAATTTATTTGACTCTACATCTCTTTTGAAAATAATGTGTGGCTTGCAAGGCGTGGGCAGTCGTAGAATCGAAGTTAGTTTTATGCATGGTTCAATTTGACCTGTTACCATGTGTTATACTGTCTTCACTGTCCTTTAACTTTATTTGTCGATCGAATAGAATCTGTACAGGAACTATTTACTACTCTTTTCAACACGGGGATTTTCCATATCCCATCATGCTTTTGGGTCTCAGCCCCAGACTTCTACATCCTACACATGCGCTCCGGGCATACCCCCGGGGATTTGCATTTGTTTTTCTATCTTGATGGTCTTTTTTCCAGCCACCGAGCTCTTGATCGACCTGATATTAGTAAAATGAGAGGTACCCAGATATTGATAAAATGAGAGGTGCCCACATTCTTCGAAATATTAATAATTTTATTGGTGGACACAATTTCAGTTTCCGACGGAAAGGACATATTTGCTAAATGAAGGTGAAAAAACGCCATATCGCAAAATAGTAATTCTGGCAAAATTTCTACTTTGCGTAATGAGTTCTAGTACGGTCTATAAAATGAGAGGTGCTGGACACAATTTCTTTCAGACGAAAAGGACATATTTGCTAAATGAAGATGAAAAAACGTGATTTCGGAAAGTAGTATTCTCCACTATTTCATCAATAGGGCCTGACTAGCCCTGTCTGGTTAACTGTACATGTTATACTTTGAATTTCTGATCAGGCCACTGGACTTGCTTACATGTGCGCCAAATCAAGTAATTTTGGTAATTTGATCCTTTTCACTTGTAGGCATTGTTTCTGGAGCAGTCTATCTATCCTATTCAGTACTTAGAACTGATGGAATGTAGCATCGATAGCTATGGGGTGAACAGGCTTGCAAGGTACCTTTTTTTTTAATTGTAATATTGAGATGTCCAATGGGCAAGCAACATAATTTTGCTGAGTTAAAGTAAATGTTACAGTTGTTGAAAAAGAGAGTAGGACTGTGCAGACTGTTCTGGGCTGGTAAACTTTAGCAATCAGGGACGGCAAAGTGTATTATATTTTCAACTGGAGGGCTTGGAAATCAGGGCCAGAGGTGCAGATTTGTAGGGAGGTATGGGAACCATCCACCCCCAGGAAATTTTGAAACCTAGAGGCTCAGAAATGCTATTTTCAACATTCTTCATGAGATATTTCTTTAAAAAATAAAACTCAACCTAAATAAAGTGTAAACTGACAGGTACGTGTAGTGCTTACCCCAATATCTGGAGGTTAATTGTAAACTTGATGCCCGAGGTCTTATGGCCTCCGGCGTTACTCAGACCAAGGGCACAGTTTCTCCCAATACGGACCGACCTAGGCCGGTGAATAACATTTTTATTTTTTTCCAACTGAGATTGAAAAGTTTCAGAAAAATTTTCCTTTACTCTCCAACCTACGTGTGTTGAATCCGTTTTGCATAGTATAAGAATTTGTGGCGTCTAATTCAAATAAAAGATCATTTACTTCTTTTCCTGATTTAAGAGTAGTAACAAAATTCATCCCTGTGTTCAACAAAAAAAATGGCCAGTTGCATTACCATTCCTTCGCTGCAGGGTGAGATGAAAAATATGTCTTAAAAAATTGCTTGCCCTTTGAGGAACCCTCCACTTTTCTAGAGAAAACCGTAAAAAGCTTCTCCAAGCACCATTGTTGCACTGGAAGATCCTTTTCAGCCAGGCTGGTCGTAAAGATTTAATCATACTTTCCAGATCGATCATTTTTAAACGACCGTTTTCATGTTCGTTAATTGTGGAAAGTCTTGTCACTTTATCGGTTCCTTTCCACAAAAATTTTGATTTAAATTTGATTTAACTCTTTAAAGATTTACTTGGGGACCGGCAGAAGCGAGGAAATGTAAACAAATTTTGGTATGATTTAAGACTTGATAATTGTTACTTTTCCATAGATAGAAAGGCATCTTGAAGACCAAATGTTTATAAGTTTTTTGACACTGTCCAATCTCTCAAAAAAATTTTTTTCGCGCAAAAGTTTGATATAGTATGAGTAAAAAACACCGACGGCTTTGGTTGGTTCGTCACGCCATTTTATACCAAAAGGTTTTGAAATTTTATCTGTAGACGACCCGATCCACATTCCTTTAGTTTTAGATGAGTTTATTACAAGTCCTGATAAGTTATTGAATACTTCGAGAAGGTTACAAAGGGCCTGTGCCGAGTCAATGTCAGACAGAACGGCCGTTGTGCCATCAGCATATTGAAGGAGTTTTGTTTCTTCGCCACCGATTTTAATACCAATTATCTATGGGTTTTGACGAATTGCCAAAGCAAGAGTTTCAACTGCAACCACGAACAAATATGAGAAAGCGGTTTTAATTATGAAAGATAATTCAATGGGTAACACCCATGACAACTATCAACCAATCACGTGTCTAGCGTTAATGTGGAAATTGCTCACTGGAAGATCTGCTTCCAACTATATGAACATCTAGAGAGGGAGCAGCTACTCCCCGAAGAGCAAAAAGGCTGCAGAAGAAAATCTGGAGGAACAAAAGATCAGTTGATAATAGACCTTTTTACCGATACGGCAGCCATATTGAATTAATTGGATTTAAGGAGTATTATGGGATGCCCAGGCGGCATGAGGACGATCCAGTATACTTGCATCAGTATTTACGTGCGCTCTTCGGGCCAATTTTTCTTTAGGTTTTCCCAGAAAAAGATTGTAATGGGAAAAAAGATCGTTGTGCCGTGTTTGGATATAATGACGATCGCCTTTTTCCCGAGAAATATACGTTGAAATTCTCTTTTTGCCCGAAAAGCGCGCATAAATACTGAGCCAGTGCCCCCTGGGCATCCCATAATACTCCTTAAATCTAATAAATTCAATATGGTCGCCGTATAGGTAAAAAAGTCTGTTGATAAGATGGTGAAAATGATTGCAAGGGGAGGAAGACAAAATTGGGTGATGGCATGGATTAGCTATGAAAAGGCGTACGACATGGTGCCACACGTGTGGATCATAAAATGCCTCAACCTAGTTGGTGCTGCTGAGAATGTATAAACTCTCCTGGGAAGAAATATGGAGGGGTGGAGAACTGTCGTGACCCCAAGCAATGAGTCGCATGGCGAAATTTGAATCAGACGAGGAAGTTTTCAGGGTGACTCCCTATCACCATTGCTTTTCGTCATTGCTATGATCCCTCTAACACTTTTACTCCGAAAGGTGAAGCCTTGTTATGTCCTACGCAATGACCAGATACGGATTAACCACCTGCTGTTTATGGATGATCTAAAGTTGTATGGAAAGAACGAGCGTGAGATTGAATCGTTAGTCCAGACTGTCCGTATTTATAGTGAATATATTGCTGTGGAGTTCGGTATTCAGAAGTGTGCATTCATAAAATCTTGAAGGGAGGAAAAACTACCAATTTTGACGGTATTAAGTTACCTGCGGAAGGAAGGGAAATTTCCGCATTAAAACAGGAAGAAGGATACAAGTATCTGGGAGTGTTAGAGGCTAGTGATGTCTTACAGGAGGAATTAAAAATAAAACTGACAAAGGAATACTTTCACGGGATAAGATCGATTCTGAAGTCGAGGTTGAACAGAGGCTATGTTGTCGCAGCTATTAACGAAAGCACTGTATCTCACCTGAGGTATAGTGGAGGTTTATTGGAGTGGAAGAAAGCGGAGGTGGAAGCTATTGAAGACAAGAAAGTTGTTCACAATGTATGGCACTCTAAACCCTCGAGCAAATACAAGTAGAGTATACTGCCAAGGAAGGAAGGTGGACATGGGCTGAATAGTGCAGCGGACTGTGCCACCATGGAACAGTTGATCGAGTTTGAACAAGAGCCATGTTCAGCAGAGTCAGGAAATGCTGCTAAAAAGCTACCTGCCTTGTTTTGAAGCCTAAAGCTGAAAGCGACCCTTTGCAGTATTAGCAGCAAAGGAGTGATGAAAGAATGGCTGACTGGAAGGAAAAACCATAATTTCCATGGTCAGTTTTTAAGGCATACAGAAGGTGCAACTAGTAATCTCTCTTGGACGTGGTTGAAGAAGGGGGGATTTAAGGATACATAACCAGGCATTGCGAACGAAGGCAATAAAGGTAATGATTGACAAACAGGCTGTCAGCTCAAAATTCAGGTTGTGCAAGAGTGTGGAAGAATCAGTAAGCCAGATAGTTTGTGAATGCTGAGTGTTGGCTCAGAGAAAATATAAAGGTAGTCATGATAGTATTGTAAAAGCTGTCCATTGGTGCCTGTGCAGAAAGTACGGATTGACAGTTGCTGCCAAGTGGTATGAGCAAGTCCCTGGAAAAGTTCGAGAGTCCGGGAAGTCAAAATCCTTTGGGATTTTAGCAAACAGACTGATCATCAGCTTCAACACAATAGACCTGACCTTGTAGTAGACATACAGCAAGCAGTTTGCCAAATTATTGACGTAGCTGTGCCAGAAGATGCTAGGGTGGAACTGAAGAAGAAAGTGAAAATTGGTAAATATCAAGACCTGGCAAGAGAATTGAAAACTGTGGAAGGTCAAAAGAAGGGTTGTGCCTATTGTTGTCGGGGCACTTGGGACAATCCCTAAAGGATTAGTTGGTCATCTTGAAAGCTTAGGGGTGCACTATCAGGAAGAATCCTGAAGGAGAATCCTCCAACGGGTTCTCTACTACTAAGAACGCAAGACGTGACTTGTGCCGGGAACTGGTTAGCAGTTGAACACTGAGAGTATATACATATTATTATTATTATTATTGTTGTTGTTGTTGTTGTTATTTTAAATGAAGATGTGATCGTCACAGTGGTAATTGCAATTTAAGCAATTGCAGATTAACCCCCCCCAAAAATTGGGACTTCAACGGGAATCGAACCCATGGCCTCTGAGTTAGCGCTGCAGTACTCTAACCAATTGAGCTATGAAGACCCATACATGGGAGCAGGCCAATTTGTTGAGTTCATCTTAAGGTGGCTCGACTGGATTTTTTGGGGTTGATACCTCCCAAGTTTGAGCATTAACTATGTCGGCATGAGTAAAGATATGGAAAAAAGATTGCCACAACTGTATTATGCAAAGATCAAAATTTCTTATGATCTGGGTTTTATTGCAATCGGAGTCGCCATGGCAACGTAATGACGCCATTACGTTTTTCATTTATCTTTGTGTTTCTCTGTACCAGGAGTTTTTTGAAGAAATCGCCTAAGGGAGCATGTACCTGCTATAATTGCCTCCATTATGGCAAAGTTTGAACAAATTCTATGAGAGCGTTTTCGAAATATTTTGAAATGCAGTTTTAAGAATCGTAAAAACAGTGAAATAGCATGTTAGCCACACAATTCGCTAATATTTTCATAGTGGTTTGATTCCATTGAAAACTGCATACAAAAAAAGAGGGGAATTGCTCTGGGCGATCGCGAGTAAGAAGAATGTTATTAAATTGCACTCAGCTGCTTTTGGTGCGGTTTTTGGACGTAATTTGGTCCATGCCTAAAAATTTCGCATTTTTCCAAAAACCGCTCGATAATTTTTTTTTATAAATTAGACAATCTCGAGATTAATCGTCAAGAAATATTCCCTGCAAGTTTCAAGAACATTGAAAACAGGGAAGGCTGTTAAATAGGGGCTCAAATATAGCCAATTTTCTCCCCAGATTTTGTGTTTACAAGTGAGCGTCCTCATTATTCACTGGCATTGTTTTCAAGTTTCATATGCACGTGCACAACTAGCAAAAGATATAAATTTGCATCAAAAAGAACTCTCGAGTACTTTCCGAAGAAATATCAGGAATATGCTAATAATTGCCTTGTCGTCACAGATAGCAGTGAGAGCTGAAACGGTGAACGTCATGGCTCATCGTGTAGGATGGAATACTTACTTATCTTACTCGGGTTATAACATCACAGAAACTCTCACAAAGAGTTGCTCTGATGTTATAATGTATCACTAATCTCTTTACCCGGTAATTAGCATATCCCGGAGTTTTAACCGAGGGTCCTTTTTGATGCAAATTCTATCTTTTTGCTAAATGTGCACGTGTATATGAAACTTGAAAACAATGCCAGTGAATAATGAGGAAGCTCACTGGTAAACACAAAATCTGGGGGAAAAATTGGTTGTATTTGAGGCCCTATTGAAAGCCTTCCCTGTTTTCAATGTTCTTAAAACTTGAAGGGAATATTTCTTGACGATTGATCTCGAGATTGTCGAATTTATAAAAAAATTTATCGAGCGGTTTTTGGAAAAATGCGAAATTTTTAGGCATGGGTCAAATTACGTCCAAAAACTGCACCAAAAGCAGCTGAGTGCAAGTTAATAACATTCTTCTTACTCGCGATCGCCCGGAGCAATTCCCCTCTTTTTTTGTATGCAGTTTTCAATGTTATCAAACCACTATGAGATGAAGCCTCGTTCCCAAAGCTTATCATTTTCTTAAAATATTAGCGAATTGTGTGGCTAACATGCTATTTCACTGTTTTTATGATTCTTAAAACTGCATTTCAAAATATTTCGAAAACGCTCTCATAGAATTTGTTCAAACTTTCCCATAATGGAGGCAATTATAGCAGGTACATGCTCCCTTACGCGATTTCTTCAAAAAACTCCTGGTACAGAGAAACACAAAGATAAATGAAAAACGTAATGGCGTCATTACGTTGCCAAGGCGACTCCGATTGCAATAAAACCCAGATCATAAGAAATTTTCATCTTTATGTAACACAATTGTGGTAACCTTTTTTCCATATCTTTACTCATACCGACGTAGTTAATGGTCAAACTTGGGAGGTATCAACCTAAAAAAATCCAGTCGAGCCACCTTAACCCATGAAAGGAATGAAACATAGAATGATGAAGTTAACTGCGAAAAATACAAATTTTAATATTTTCCGCAGTTCACATCATCTTTCCTATGTTATTATTATTATTATTATTTATTTATTTATTTGTTTTAATTTTCTTAGCTTGAGCTTAAAATCGTCTTTCTATGCAAGTCTTACAGTGTTGTTCCTTTTTGATTGAGATGAAACCTTTACTATGTCAATTAACTGTAACCTTTATTTTTGGCAGGTCAATTTGTATGAGCAATCTTACTGCACTATTGCTTGATTATAACAAGTAAAGTATTCATTATTGTCGAAGATTTAAATAGTTACATGATATTTTTTATTTCTTTCCACCATCATGACATATTTTTTCCAGTATATTTCCGATGGAGGGTGCTGTAAGGAAAACCCTAAATCGTAGCGTCCTCATTCATCAGTACTCTTAATTTATTGACCACCATCGTGAAACTCGTTTTATGTAATTTCTAAGTGACCACTTCGATAAGCTACCAGTTTTATGAAATACCTGGCTGTTTTTTTGTTGTTGTCAGTTTTCATGACCTTTTTTTGGTAAAGAAAATACGGTCGACCATTTTTATAAATTTATTTTAAAATAACAATATATTAAGGGCAAGAGCCTATGGCTCTTGATTTAAGGGTCTATATAATTCAAAATTTCGGGGCTGAGACCAACACCAAAGGATGAAATGAATTCCGGAAAGGGCTGGAATTGGACATGATATTACGATAGGGCTGTTTCGGTTGATATACTGAATCAGATTGACTTTTAATTAAGCAGAGCTAAATTGGCACTTTGGGGGGTTGAACAAAATAATCTCTTAAATTTAGTTGTATGGGAGATTAGTTCTTATACTGGTCTGATGAAATAATGTAATGTGGTCTTTCAGGTTTGGTGATGCTGGTTGTGATGGTCTTTGTAGAGGCTTGTATGGCAACAGAACCCTTTTGCGTCTCAGTCTTTGTTATTGCAATCTTGGTCCCTCTAGTGGAGAAGTTCTGGGAAAAACCGTCTCTTACACTGCCATAAGGTGAGTCTCGCAAGTCTCTCTCTCTATTTGTAGTTATGCTTCCTTAATGTGAAGTTAGCGTTTCCATTTGCGTAATTCCATGCAAAGTTTTTAATCGCCCCCGAGGCGAAATCCCGTGGAGGCATCCTAGTAGTTCGTGCGTATATAAAGGAAAGCAATTACAGTTACAATATGCAGTTAGTATACCAGAAAAAAATCTCGATTTGCTTAAACAGGGGCCGCAAGGAATCGCTGGGTAATGATAACGTTTTAGACCTAAACAATGCTGAACGCCCGCAAGTAACAAAAGGTTTGGAAAAAAAGACTACATTTGAAGCGTGAGTGAAGTGCGTAGCAGTACTCCTCGCTCAGCAGCTCACAGCGCGAAAATGTAGACTCTGTTCGCTGGGTAGGCGATTACAGAAATTTCCCGAACAGAAACAATTAAATTATTTGCTGATGTATGCCGTTTTAGTCAGAGACAAAAAAAATAGACTTGAAAAGCGTGTGAAAGAATTCTCGAAATTCCGAGGGTGTTTTGAACAACTCTGCATACTGATCGACCTGACTCAGTGCATGGAATCGGTATATTTTAAAAGAGCTACACAAAGACCAAATCTTAAGGGGTATAGGGTTCAGATATTCTGAGCATCATAATGCTATTTGGCAAACAACACCAACGAGACCGGCTTTTAGCTTAACACATAACATTTTAGACTTAATTCATTCCAAGCGTAGTCTTCATCGCTTTCCATTTTTTGTCTATTTAGTTAGTATAATATATTTTTATTTTTATTCCCCTCAAGATTTTATTCCTTTTTATCGATTACTGTTGATCACTATCGATTGTTATTAATTGATAATAATCAATAACAATTTTTTTCTGTGTCTTTGATTTCTGTCAACTTCTGTTATCAATCAGTAATAATTTGCCGATTATATCGATTGATATCGATTACATCAATTGATTTCTGATATCCATTTCTATGGATTAACTAGGCCTGGGTTAATTTCTTGATGAAGCCATTTACTTCAATATGAGAAAATGAGACGAAGGTATTCATGTGGGGAGTGCTGCTGTATGCTCCATACATGCTCTATGGGGAACTCATCCCCCATACATTTTAATTTAAGAGATTTGTCCAACCCCCACGGTGCCAATTGAGCCCTGGGCAACAGGAGGGCATTTTTTCATGCGCATGCGTGCATCTGCTGAACGACAATAGCGTGGGCGCATCAAATTTGATGGTAGCCTGCGAACAGCAGACGTATTTCTGGTCGTCGCTTCTCTTCCTCCGAAAAATAACGTTTGCGAACCCGAGCGGCAAAGCAATTTCCGTGACGTAAAACCTCAAGTTTGGGCTTATAGAAGATAATGTCACAGTTTTTGAATGACCATGAAATTCAGAGTCCGAGTAGTTAGTTAATCAATTGTGGCCCTGAAAAAATTTGAAGGAAAAAAAACTACGAATTTTTAAGAAAATGCTTTTTTTCGTGAGAAGGACTCTTAAACGCTGACAAACGTCAACAAATGGCGAAACTATAATTTCTATATGTTTGCTTTGCTCGAAATCGCGCGCATTTACAAGGCCCTAAAGTGTTTTGCTGACTTGCAAGGACCCATCTGTTATAACGATCCCCAAAATAAAGGGATGAATCTCATAGTTCATTGGATATAATCGTGTAAAGTTTGCTTATCATTTTCGCATAAATTATGACCTAAATTTGGAAACCGCTGAATTTCTCGAATTGGGTCCTTGCGATTGCGGTGAAACTGTGTTCAGCGCAAGGCACTAATGCGCACTATGTGTAGCCGAGAGATTTTCACGAAAAAATGCCGCCAACAGCAGATTTTCGATTCAGACCTCAAAGGGGCGTGGCATTATAACCAGGTGACATTTACCCCGATCGCCAAAAATTTTATGTTATATTGTAGATTGATCTATATGTTATCCATTCTATGTGTTAGACTTACGATAAAAGTAAAGGTGGGGATACGAGAGAGCTTCAAAATAGTATGGTACTACCCCCAAAAAACTGGGTCGAGTCACCTTAAGCTTAATATTTCTCATTGTAAACAAAATAACAATTCATGCAGTCGAAAGTATCGGCCGTTAAAAGTTACAAGAAGAACCCTTCTTAAATAAGATGTGAGTTCACTTGATGATGATTCGCATCTACCAGAAATCAAGTAAATATTACGTAAATCCCGTAAATTTTGCCATCTTCTAGTTCCGCAGCCAGCTCGCGTTAGCCGGGTCAACCAGTCGAGTCCAAAAATAGAGTCAGAGACTCTCTACCTGATGTGTACATCGCTGAAAACGATAGCAGAAGAATTTTCCTTGTTTTTAAGCCAACAATTTAACCACAACATCGGATTTTACCAAATAATTCTTACTCAAACGCGAACTTTCGAGTATTAGATTCTCGCGTTCTATCTTGAACTTCAAAAGTGGCGTTCTGGCGTCGGACCTGACCTCACGAACGTGAACACATGCGCAATAAGTTCACACTGGCGCGAGTGACTTCCTGTCGGCGTTCGTGATCTCAAGAACGTTTGCTGCTTAAGTTCTCTACTATTTCTGGATGACAACAAAACCAACGACGGCAAGGAGAAAGGCAAAAAATAATATGTTTATATTAACAAACAATAACTTTGCACGTGCATCACGCTATTTTGTACATTTCTTTGCCGTCTTTGCACCACTACAACATGAAACTTCCTAGTTTCAGTTCACGAGCCCGCTTTATGCAGTAGGTGAACACAGCACGGAAATTGTCGCTTTCTTTTTCTAAACATAGATAACGATAGATACGGTCCCAGAGAAGATTTTCGCCAACATTTGCCAAATTAAATGAAACTGAATAAGATCAGTTAAGTTTGAAATAGTGCAAATAGACTTGTGACTTTATCAGTTTGTTGTCATCCAAAAGTTTGGCTACCATGGCAACCTTACGTTAACGACTTCTCTCTATTAGTGCCATGCTTATGGAAACTAGCCCTGCCTAAATCAGGTGCAAAAACACCTGAAAACCATTCCCCGTGGCCAGAATTGAAAACGTTCTTGCTTCTACTAGAATGGTACCGACAAAATAGACCCGCCTTATAATTGTCTGACTTATTTTATTAGAGTTTTGATTTTATGTTTACCCGTGCTTGCGAAACAACTTGTCAAGGTGCACAAGGTGATTGAATCGTTCTGTCAATCTCTGTAAAATTATATTTATTATTTTTCATTCAAAGCATTCGCCGTTTCTTATTGGCTCCAATCCCCTGGCTAATTCTCCATAACCAACAGGCACTGACCTTATGTGGAAGATGCGAGCAATATACCATTAATTTTCGTGGTATATTTGATTGGAAACGAGGCATCGATCAACCTTTTTTACAAGCGCAGCGTCCTAGCTGTGTGTTAACGAGCGAACTAAAAAAAAAGCGGTCACGGCTATCCGAAAACGAAATAAATGAACTTCTGACTGAAACTGAACGGAAGGAAAGCAAGAATACGTAAAACATATCTACTTCTTCTCCTTAAAATATTTTCAATGAATGATAAAACAATTATTGAACTCGGCTTTCGTATGATGTGAAGAATTATACAGATCTCGGAGGATGTTATCCACCTAGGCCCTCAGTAGCGGTGGATAACACCCTCCTTGCTCTGCATAATTCTTCATATC